AGTTTTCCATCGCACGAACGAATTCGCAACTTTCCGCAGTAACCTAAATGACATTACGAAAAGCGTAGTTAACGTAAGTGTAAACTACAGCATGGGCTCATCAACACTTACTGCTCTGATAGTTTCTGTACGACCATCTCTGAACAAACGCGTCATCGATGACTCATAAGTAAGACAAAACTTTCCTTGGTCCTATAAAACATTACAGAATTCCCAAAAGCAATTACAAAATAGGTTTGAATTCACTGAACAAAGGCAACTGATGAACTATGTCTTATAGTAAACAAAAGTAGATTTACATAAAAACTAGGACCAGTGATAACAAATTAAAAGTACTTACCTTGATAACAGATAACAAACCATATTTAAACTTGCAAATATGAGTAAGAGAACCAAAGTTTAGAGAAACAAAAGAGCCATGAGAACCACTATATCAAAGCATTGTGGAAACCATTCGAAGATACCACGAATTTTAGAATTTTTCAATCAACGGGTCAGGTTCCATCCTTTTAACTACAGCACCTTTTGATGATTTCAGAAACGAAATGCGCAAACTAGCAAACTGTGGGGTGCAAAATTAAAAAACTCTCCAAAAACTTGGGCATCATTTTTTGAAAGCGCAACTTTCACGGTGGCAAAAAATAACAGAAAAATTAATTTTATTTTACTGGAGCTAAAAGATGCCAGATTAATGTCAAACTCACAAGTTTACAAGCCAAAAAGCACATTACAAAAGCTTGATTGCTCAGATATACTGAACATGTGGCTTTGTCATGCTTAATCCAACTCGTAAAGGTTACTTGCTGGAGGAGAACGGGTATATCTTTAAAACATGAATCTACTGACTTAGTAACCCAAAAAGAAAAGCGTCGCTGAAAAGGAATGAATGGGCGCTACTGTGCTAACAATACGATGAATGTTACTTTCATTTAGGAATGTAGGCATATGACACGGTATGTTCATCTTGTTCCAGGTAGCTAAAGACGGTATAACTTCAATTTCTTTGTTAAAAGAGGCAGTCATCGAACGGATTTGCCAAAATAACAAATAAATAAATCAACCTAGTTAACTTAGTTCTGCCTTACTTACATCAGCTTTCGGAAAGTCAAGCTGAAGAATATAAAGTGGATTACTGCCAAACATACGTGATGCATGGCTATGTGTTGACTCAGTAGTTACAAAATATCCTTTCACTACAGCGTTTCTTTAAGATTTCGACAAATCATATCTGTTACTAGGCGCAGTATTCAATACTTGTTGCTTTTAAAGATGAAAACACGCGTACCCGATAATATACGAGCTGCAAGGCAGCCTGAATATATCCGTCTGGCGAGAGATGACACTTTTTTATGAATCCCTTTCCGTATTCCTTGTACATCAGTATTTTGAGGTCAACTTCCTGAATTAAGTTTTGCACATTCTGCAGGCTGAGATTGATAGATTCTCGAATCTGAAAGAATGTATTTTTACAGAAGGTTAAAAACACGCCAAGGATCCTGGTAATACATTTGGCAACAAGTTCCATCTCAATCTGTGCGGAAGGAGCGCCGTTCTGCCTACTTCTCCCAAAGCATGGCCGTCGTTGGTGTATCTGAAGGGTTAAACATAAAAGTTAAACAAAACACGTTTATGACTTTTGCAATAAGGGTTTCTATAATCATAAATAAGAAGTGTAAGAACTTTGAGAATGATTAGTCAATTTTGGGTTCAGTCATATGTATCCATTCATTTTTATAGTCCACTATCTTTTTCAAGTGGCGAAGGCAGCAACTTCAAGGAACTTTTGCAATGATTTCGGTCTTCCACCGAACAGGTAAATACCATCAGTGGGATTTTAAAGTTTGATGATGTCAATTTTTTTAATAAACTCGAACCATCTACCAACAGGTTGATCCTTTCCCAACCTGACCTGTGACTGGGCAGTAAGAATCCGTCTATCTTATATCTCCTAGAACATTCTGATCAAGGGCTCAAATCATCGTAAATGCCATCTTTCAACTTCGAGAATGGCGATTGACAAGCGAGCATATCTCGGTTTGCTGCATTTAGAATTGGTCGATCTTCGTCATAGCAACAGTTATTCAAAAGAACCCCGTTTCTGTCGTCTGCATTCTTAATTGTACGCTTGGTCAATATACAAAACCCGATAATGGTAGATGCGTACACCATACTGATTGGACAGTCGATTCAGATTCAATACAGGATACCAGACTGAACAAACTCCAGCATAACTTCCTTACAATTTGCTCGTCGGTTTGCGACAATCAAACACGCTTGACCATCACTCTTCTTTCCATGATAGTGCGTCTTAGACTCAGCTTTCCAACCTTACAATATAATCTTTCAATCATTTATTTAGATTTCGTGAATAACCTTTCAATAAACTGCGACTCATCTGATATCTGTCTGAGCAGTATTCGTGTCATAAGCATCTTACTACTTTTACCTTCAAGATTACACCTTTACGCCCCCCGTGTTACCCAATGACTTCTTTTCATATGCGGTCTCAGACTGAATATTCAGTTTCACTGTTCACTGCCCTCTGTTACAGTCAAGCAATAGAAATTTGCTCGAGAATACACTGGCATAAAAATTTTTATAGATGTCCCTAACAACCACTTTTTTCACGCTGCATTAATAAGTTTTTACTTAACGGCAATTAATCTGGCACTAAAAATAAATTTCAGAAAATTTTAATAACAAACTCCAGCACCTAATCGTTACTTTGTTCGTTTTACATTAGATTCAGTTACGCCCAAAAAATAGCTGCATGAGAACTGATAGCTAATTTCTTGCAGCATAATCTAAAAAAGTTTAAC